TAAATTAAATTAAAGTCTAGTTCTGTTTGATTTTCAAGCGAATTTGGGAATTTTTAAATTAATCAATTTATAATATTTATGCTCCGTAGAGTTGAATTGTACACTGTTTTGTAAAAAATATTAATAAGAACACCGGATTATATATCATACTGTTCTTTCTCTTTATTATAATATATATATATATATATATATATATATATATATATATATATATATATATATATATATATAAGTATATTTAAAAGGCCGGTTAATAAATTTAAAAAAAAGCCAACAAAATGATAGCAATATTGCGAATAAAATTTAATATTAACCTTTCATTTCCGTCAAAAGGTTAATATATAATAAATATCAATTTTATTGACAATATTAGTATCATTTTGTTGCCCTTTGTGTTCAAATTTTACTAACTGGTCTATTAAATCTACATATATAAAGCACATGTGGATCACCTTTCATTATATATATATATATTGTTATGGTCTAAGGTTAGGACCATAGAAGAACAACACGGAGCACAAGAGTAGAAATAACAAAGAATATATTACACGAAAAATAATACAAGTGGAAGGTGTTAGTATGACTGTCAGACTGGTTTGGAGTGAACTACTATCAGCTTGACTCGATTCAATACCTGTTGTGGTAGGATCCACCTAATTTGCATAGTGGAGTACCGACCATATAAATATGGTTGGTACCGGGAAGAGAGCGGGGAATCAAGAGATTCAATTCAGAGACTCTGCCCGACTGCGACTCAGTCAACACATTCTCCAGGAACGGTCTTACCAGGAATATACAAAAGACTATATGTAAATATTGTGTACACTTTCTTGTTTCAATACATTTTGTTCTAAGTATCTTTTGTGTTGCATTATTATTCCATGCATTAGTTAAGTTTCAACAATACCGATATTTAACAGTCCCCCCACGAGAAATGTATGTGGCACAAGGCCGAGTTTAACGTGGGCTCGGCCAAAAATATATCCTTTGAACTCGCCTAGACGTGTTCAGGGCCTGTCTACCTCCTCGGACGAAACAAAGCTTCGTCCGGGTTCCTCTCTGCCAAAGCAGAGAGTTCGACAGAAGTCGCACACAGTCAGAGACTGCGGGTGACTTGATTCAATACCGTCCGTCTCTCTTGAGAGGCGTGGTATATATAGCGTCAGGAAGAGTTCATTCTGTCGATCTAGGTATGGCCCCCCCCTGATATATATATATATATATATATATATATATATATATATATATATATATATATATTTATATATAATAAAATTTGAACAGACCCCCCCGTTAAGATTCCATGTAATAAGCTATTTCACCATAACCCCTTTAAAAGGGTTCTGGATCATCAGACTTTACTTCCAAAAGCTGAAATGAAAAATGAAAAGAAATTCACACGTTTTTGACGGACCTCATCAAGTATACGTAAAATTAACGAAGTGAGGTGGGAGAGAGGATATGAGTGTGTCATATGTATCATTTCAGTTTCCTATTTTTAACCCCAGTGTGTCGGCTAGATGTTGCTCAAATTTAACGCGTCTCGTCTCTAGATAAAGGTGGCTAAGGGGTGAATGATAAGAACGACTTAAAGGAAGAAGTTACAACAACCCCAATCAATTACACGACAGGTTTCATTCAAATTCTTAGACGCTGTTAATTCGCGTTACTTTAATGTGCATATTTGGGAGGTTAAGGTTTGATAAATATCTAAATGTTAAAACAATCTACGAAGAAATTAATTTGAAATTCGGTGGAGTTTTTGGGTATTTTCTATGAAACAATCGATTGGAAAAATTCATAGACAGAACATTGAAAGAGTAATCCATTTTATATTTAGTAATCTTTTTTATTCCACTAAAACTTTTATCTTATTAAGTTTGCATTTTGAGCTCTCTGGATATCATCCTCCTCGGGTCGACCCATACGGATTACCTAAGTTTACATAAACTATATATATATATATATATATATATATATGTCATGGGGCCATATATATATATATATATATATATATATATATATATATATATTTGTGTGTGTATCTCCCAAGAAAAGCGACGCTTAATGTTTAAAATGGATTTTTGAAAATTAAAGATATTTCATGGAGATTTTATTTTACATTTAATTACAAACTGATAGAAAAACTTTTAATATTTTCAGTAAGCTAAATATTTGCTATATTTCAAACTGAATTTAAATTGATTGGAATGAGTTTTTATTATTAGTAAAAACGTTAAAATCATCCATATTGACAAAAATATCAATACAATTCTCTTTATTAAAAAACTTTCAAAAATACAATATCCTTTTCTGATATTTTATTTGAGGAATGTTAGCTGATTTAAAGTTTCATTATTTTGATTTGATACAAATATTACTTACTTTTAGTTCAAAATATCGCAGAAAAGTATTTTCAACAGGGAGGTGTGTATGTTTACGAAGTGTTGACAACTCTTCCGATAGATTTATGTTTGGGAATATTTTATGAGGGAGACATAACTGTAAAAATTATCTGACGAATATAACTTGAACACATTTTTTATATAATTTTTTTAAAACTAGCCAGTAGTCTTAAAAAATTAAGAAATTATTCTAAGCAATTTAATATTTTATTAAATCTTAAGTACTTTGTCTTTATTGTCTAACTTACGAAGTTTATTTTTAAAAAATGTCAGAAAATTACCAAAAATTTTTAACTGTTGTAACTCCTTTTATTTTCTGATAATGTCGCCTTTGAACGTACGTATTTATAAATATGTACACGTTTATACACGCATGAAATAAATTCAAAATTATTTTTTAAAGTACTGGTAGTCGTTCAATTGTAGTGAGCTTTCCCACTTATGATTAATAAATACAGTCCTAATTTAATGACAATATCATTTCCCCGCTACGAATATATACAGAATTTTAAAAGATTTTAAAATTTATAATTTATAATTAAAATTTAAAACGAATGAAAAATTCATTATTCATCGAAATTATTTTTTCTTACGACAGTAATGTCCATAATATGTTTTTTCCAAGACAGATGTTAAAAGCTTCTATAATTAAATATTTTTTTAGTTTTATTGCATTTTTTTTAATTCAGAGCAGATTTTCTGTAACTTGGAATTCTGTTCGATCAAAAAAAAATTGTTTTTATATTCTTCGAGGACGTGACCTTGTAACTAATGTAAACTTTAAGCCCTAGAAAAATTTTTTGATAAGATTAAGTAAAGGAAAGAACCACATATAACATAAAGAATATTTTTACCAAGATTTTCTGATAAAAAAAAATTCAAAAATTAATTTCATTCGTTTGTGAATAAGCTGACCTGAGATGGAACAAATACATTGAGTCAATAGCTTCGTCCACCGCAAGTTGGCTCCCTGTGCTGCGACAGGACATTTTTCTCGCCAGAGTCGATTCTTCAAATCTACAAATCAACCATTCGCCCTTGCATGGAGTATTGCCGCCATATATGGTCTGGAGCCCGTTCTGTTTGTCTCAAGGTCCTTGATAAAATCCAGAGACAGATATGCAATATAATTGCCCCTGATCTGGCATCTCGTCTGCAGACGCTCTCCCACAGACGTGCCGTTGCTTCCCTCTGTCTTTTTTACAAATACTTTCACGGTAACTGCTCCGATGAGCTGCTTTCACTGGTTCCCAGACTTCATAAATTTAAGCGTCCTTGGCTGGCATCTCGCTCTCATCCTTTCACTGTCGAAACTGTTAAGTGTAGCCGTCTCTTCTACTTCAATAGCTTCATGTCTCGCACTTCTCACCTGTGGAACTCCTCCCTTTTTTTCCTGTTTCACTGATAGCTATAATCTCCAACTATTCAAATGTAATGTCAATCGACATCTCCAGATGCCTTGATCTATCCCCTATCCTTCTCTTCATCCTTTCCTCTATCATTCCTATTTGCTCTATCTCTAACTCTCTGTAACCCCTTGCGTGCTAGTGGCTTCACACCTAGCGAAACGGTTAAAAAAAGAAAAGAATAATGTAATTCATTTGTGAATACGCCCTGAATGTTTCATTAAAATCCGACAATTATTTGATTTTTGCAAGAATTTTCAAATCAATGTGTTTTTCACCCCAAAAAGACGCTAAAATTTCCTATCCTAAATCATGGTATAACGCTAAAAATAAAAAAATAAAAAATCTGCATACTACAATGAAAACATGCTCCAAACGTAATGAAAACGTATTTTTTTGTTAAAATCCTTGTTATTATATTTAAGAAGAAGGATCGAAGTATTTTTTAGGATTATTTAATTAATTTTTTACTCCTTTTTAGAACATTCGAATTTGGATTTAAAAAAAAAAACCCAAAAACTTGTTTTTCTTGCGCCAGTGGTTGAACTAACTTTTAGCATAGGAAATTTTTGCTTCTTTTTTTTTGCGGTAACAGACACATTAAATTGGAAAATCTTGCAAAGATTAAATAATTGTCGGATTTATGTATGAAATTATTTTTGAATTTTTTTATTAGAAAATAAGCTATGCTATATTTATGGGTAAAAGTACTCAATATCGGAGATAGAGCGAATATAAAATATAAAAGTGGATACTGAAGTCAGCACCGAGCAGCGACAGTCTGTTTCTTGCTTGAACAATCTTTCGTCTATGTGTGCTGTGTTTTGGCTCGACTATTTATATAGATTGGTCAATGGTGCATTATGGGTAATAACATCTATTGTATTATGCTCTAATAGTTATTTCGTGATGGTAAAGATTATATTTCAAATTATTCTAGAGTATTGAGTAGGAATAATTGCGGACCGAATACATTTATATGCAGGCTATTTTATAGTGTCGTTTGTTAATTTTGACCAACACATATAAATAGTTAAATTTTTACTAATTGTTTATTATTGGTTACTTAATTATTTGCTGTTGAGATTTACATTTACTTGTGTTTATGTGTTTGTTATGAAAAATGAAGAGTGGTCTCCTCTTGTTTTGTTACTCTCCTCTTTGATAAAGCCTTTTCTGTTTACTGAGACTATAAAAGAACATTTATACGCGACCCTTGTATTCTCAGACGATACAGCGAACGAACTTTCTGAGCAGCAAACCTAGAAATTGATTCAATATAATCTTTCCACTTCATATCGGATAGACAGATAGATAGATAGATAGATAGATAGATAATGAACAGTCTTAGAGAGATAGATAATGAACAGTCTAAGATAGATAGATAGATAGATAGATAGATAGATAATGAACAGTCTGAGATAGATAGATAGATAGATAGATAGGTAGACTGATAGATAGATAGATAATGAACAGTCTGAGATAGATAGATAATGAACAGTCTGAGATAGATAGATAGATAGATAGATAGATAATGGACAGTCAGAGATAGATAGATAGATAGATAGGTAATGAACAGTCTGAGATAGATAGATAGATAGATAGATAGATAGATAGATAAAGACAAGATAGATAAATAATGAACAGTCTGAGATAGATAGATAGATAGATAATGAACAGTCTGAGATAGATAGATAGACATAAAAATGAACAGTTTGATAGATAGATAGATAGATAGATAATGAACAGTCTGAGATAGATAGATAGATAGATGATAGATAATGAACAGTCTGAGATAGATAATAGATAATGAACAGCCTGAGATAGATAGATAGATAGATAAATAGATGAAGATAGATAGATAGATAGATATGAACCGACGGAGGTAAGGAGATAGATAGATAGATAGATAGATAGATAGATGAACAGGTAGATAATGAACAGTCTGAGATAGATAGATAGATAGATAGATAGATAGATAGATGTACCCCCACGAAATCGTTAAAAAATCAGCGTACCCTGATGAAAACATGCTCCAAACGCAAAGAAAACAGTTTTATCTTCAAAATCTTTATGCGATTATTAAGAGGAAGGATCAATTTTTTGATTATTTAATTAATTTTTTACTCATTTTTAGAACATTCGAAATTTTGATTAAAAAAGAAAACTTGTTTTTCTTGCTTCGGTGGTTGTACTGACTTTCAGCATAGCAAATTTTCGCCTCTATTTTTGCGGTAACAGACACATTAATTTGAAAATTCTTGCAAAAATGAAATAATTGTCGAATTTTAATGAAATTTTTAAGACTTATTCACAAAGGAATGAAATTATTTTTTATATTTTTTATTAGGAAATCTTGGTAAAAATATACTTTATTTTACATGTGTTTCTCTCCTTTACTTAATTTTATTAAAGATTCAGAAATTCATCGAGATAATTTTTAGTGACCATACTAGTTAAAAGCAGAAATTTTTGAAGAATTTAAATCACGGCGTTTTTGGCAGAATCGAAGCCAGTCTTACTGAAAATCTGTTCTGAATCGTAAAATAAAAATCTTAATAAAACTAAGACGTTATTTAATTAGATAAGCTTTTAATTGCTTTTATGAATAGTATATATTAAAGACAATATTATCTGAATAAGATTTTTTTCGATGAAAAATTATGTTTTACAAGATTTGTTTTCTTTTTTTTTACTATTTCTTACAATTTAAAATTGAATAATTTATAAAGTTTTGAATCTTTTAAAGTTCACTTTCAATGAGATAATTCTTAGATAATATTGTTATTAAATAAAACTATATTTACTAATCATATATTTTAAAGCTTATTACAATCTGAACGCTCCGACTATTTTTAAAAGAATTTCGATTTGTTTTTTATAAATGCAGAATTTCTGAAGTATGGATGTACAAACCGATAAATCTATTCTGAAAAGGTCACGTGTTTTCAGGGTTGTCACCCCATACGGGGAAAAAAAAACATAACCGTAACGAAATCTGTCGTCTGCTACACCATATATAATTATGAACACATTAGGCGGTCAATTCGCCGTCAATAAATCGATTAACACGTCAGGAAAAAAAAAAAAACAAGACGCCATGGTTAGGAAATGCTTGTATACAAGATTTTATGCTATAAGTAAGTAATATTTGTTTCAAATCTGATTAGATTAAGTTTAAATTTGCTTGGAAGAGAAGTAATTCATTTCGTTTTTGCCTTGAAAAAGTCCACCGTGGACGAAACGCGTCGGCTACCATTACACTTTTCCTATTGTCTTTTACATTTATAAATATTGTCTTTTTCTACTAGTTAACTCTGAGAAATTTTTCATATATATATATATATTGTCCGCTGTCAACATACCACATAGCACCCTTGAGCGCTTAGCCTTGGGCCGGGTAGAATGGAGATCAACGTGTTTTAGTGGACTCAGCAATGTTCAATCTGCTTGTCTGAATTATCTTCAAGGAGCGAGAGCAAGATCTAAAAGGTCAGCCAATCTAACAGTGATCTCATCTCACAATCCTCACACTTGCTCCATATATGGCCTCCTTTGTAAATCACTAACGGGTCTTAAATGCCACTTAAGATTATCGCACAAAATTTTTAAATCAACTAAGCTGTCAGATCCTCATACGTCGAAACCGACGTGAGAGTCCATTATATATATATATATATATATATATATATATATATATATATATATTCCCATTGCCATTATAGGATTCAATGAATTGGCAATTTTGACAGCTGTTTTTTCATGCCATCCTTATTAATAGGACTTAGCATTTGCCCGCCTACGTATATCCGCCCGCACACATTAGGGATAATATAAAAAAAATCAGCTGCGCGACAAGATTCATTATATTCAGGCAAATGTAGCAACGTAAGCAGAAACAATAAGTTATAAAATTATTACGTCCATTAAATATTGCCCTTATTTTGTTGACGTATTTTCATATACAATTTGCAAAAGAAATTTTCTTGATAAAAAAGAGGCCGATATTATAATTAAGACAATGACGTGCAATTAAGTAATATGTAATATCTGAAAGAAAAAAATAGCAGAGAAAAGACATTTTTTTTTTTATTTAAACTGGAAAATAATTTAAATATACAAGCAATTTTTGATAAAAATTTAATTAGATTTTGCATTGGAAACAGTGTTTCTTTTTCCAGTTGTGTTTAAATTTTGAAGTTAAAGATGTTTGGCAAAATAATCATGAGAAATCGATTTTGCACACGGTATTCAACATTTTCTTGCCAATTAAACTAAACTGTGTTAGAAGGGAAAATGGTTGAATATAGACAGAATAAAGGGAAATAAATTGGACATTTGTTTTTGTATTGTCATAACGGAAATAGACTGTATACAGGTTTACTTTAATTAAAATTAACATGTTCTTCTTTCATATTTCTTTTCTTTTTCTTGTTCTTCTTTCACATTTCTTCTTTTTCATCGTCTTTTTTCACATTTCTTTTGCTTCTTTTACATTTCCTCTATTCGTCTCCTTTCACATTTTTTCCTTTTCTTTGTCTTCTTTCACATTTCTTTTTCTTTTTCTTTCACATTTTTACTTTTTCTTCTTATTCTTTCACATTTTTTTTTCTTCGTCTTCCTTCACATTTCTTTTTCTTTTTCTTCTTCTTTCACATTTTTTCTTTTTTTTCTTCTTTCATATTTCTTCTTTTTCTACGTCTTCTTTCACATTTCTTTTTCATTTTCTTCTTCTTTCACATTTTTTCTTTTTTTTTCTTTCACATTTCTTCTTTTTCTTCGTCTTTCACATTTCTTTTTCTTCTTCTTTCATATTGCTTCTTTTTTATCATCTTTTTCGCACTACTTTTTCTTTTTCTTCTTTCACATTTCTTCTTTTTCTTCTTCTTCTTTCAAATTTCTTCTTTTTCTTCTTTCACATTTCTTCTTTTTCTACGTCTTCTTTCGCATTTCTTTTTCTTCCTCTTTCACATTTCTACTTTTTCTTCTTATTCTTTCACATTTCTTTTTTTTTCTTCGTCTTCTTTCATATTTCTTCTTTTTCATCATCTTTTTTCACATTTCTTTTTCTTCTTTTACATTTTTTCTTTTTCTTCGTCTTCTTTCACATTTATTTTTCTTCTTCTTTCACATTTCTTTTTTTTCTTTTTCTTCTTTCACATTTGTTGTTTTTCTTCGTTTTCTCTCACATTTCTTCTTTTTCTTCCTCTTCTTTCATATTCCTTTTTCTTCTATCACATTTCTTCTTTTTCTTCTTCTTCTTTTCACATTTCTTCTTTTTCTTCTTTCACATTTCTTCTTTTTCTTCTTCTTTCACATTTCTTCTTTTCTTTTCCTTCTTCTTCTTTCACATTTCTTCTTTTTCTTCGTCTTCTTTCACAATTCTTTTATTTTCATTTTCTTCTTTCACATTTCTTCTTTTTCTTTCACATTTCATTTTCTCTTTCATCTTCTTTCACGTTTTCTTGTTCGTTTTCTTCTTTCACATTTCTTATTTTTCGTTTTCTTCTTCTTTTACTTTTCTTTTTTCTTCTTCTTTTCGCTTTCGCACATCTGTTTCAGTTCTTTCTTTTCTTTTTCCATATTTTTTCATTCTTCCTCCACATTTCTTCTACTCTTTACTTTTTCTTCTTGTATGGGCCTTGTCCGTTCAGGGCGTGGGCGATCATGGTTCTCCACAACTTTCAGCTCTTTGTAGTTCTGAGCAGTGTTTGTCTTTTTGCTATCTCTTCTAATCGCTCTTCTGTCAACTGGTGGATTTATTCTCAGCTTCCTTCCGTCTCTCTTCCCAACAATATGTCAGGTGAGTGTCAAATATTTTAAACCTTCTTTCCTTATTTTGTGCCTGTGTCTTTTCACATTTCTCCGTTTTCCTCTTCTTGCACCTTCCTTTTCTTTATTCTTTCTTCTTCTATTTCTTCTTCTTCTTCTTCTTCTTCTTCTTCATCTTCTTCTATTTCTTCTTCTTCTTCTTCTATTTTTTCTTCTTATTCTTTCTTCTTCTTCTTCTGTTTCTTCTTTCTTCTTCCTTTATTTCTTTTTCTTCTTTCCTTTTCTTCTATTTTTCTTCTTCTTCGTCTTCTTCTTCTTCTTCTATTTCTTCTTTCTTCTTCTTCTTCTTCTATTTTCTTCTTCTTCTAATTCTTCTTCTTCTTCTATTTCTTCTTTCATCTTCCGCTATTTCTTTTCTTCTATTTTTTCTTCTTCTTCGTCTTCTTCTTCTTCTTTTCTTCTTCTTCTATTTTTCTTCTTCTTTTTTCTTCTTCTTTTTCTATTTCTTCTTTCTTCTTCTTTCTTCTTCCTCTATTTCTTTTCTTCTATTTTTTCTTCTTCTTCTTCTTTTCTTCTTCTTCTATTTTTCTTCTCCTTCTTTTTCTTTTTCTTCTTCTTCTTCTTCTATTTTTTCTTTCTTCTATTTTCTTCTTCTTTTTCTTCTTCTTCTATTTCTTCTTCTATTTCTTCTTGTTCTTCCTCTATTTCTTTTTCTTCTTTCCTTTTCTTCTATTTTTTCTTCTTCTTCGTCTTCTTCTTCTACTTCTATTTCTTCTTTCTTCTTCTTCTATTTTCTTCTCTTTTTCTTCTTCTATTTGTTTTTCTTCTTCTTCTTCGATTTCTTCTTTCTTTTTCTTTATTCTTCTATTTCTTTTTTCTTCCCTTTTCTTCTATTTTTTCTTCTTCTACGTCTTCTTCTTCTTCTTCTTCTATTTCTTCTTTTTCTTCTATTTCTTCTTCTATTTCTTCTTTCTTCTTCTTTCTTCTTCCTCTATTTCTTTTCTTCTATTTTTTCTTCTTTGTCTTCTTATTTCTTCTTTTTATTCTTCTATTTTTCTTCTTCTTTTCTTCTTTTTCTTCTTCTTCTTCTTTCTTCTTCTTTCTACTTCTTCTTCCTCTATTTCTTTTTTTTCTATTTTCCTTTTCTTCTATTTTTTCTTCTTCTTCGTCTTCTTCTTCTACTTCTATTTCTTCTTTCTTCTTCTTCTTCTTCTTCTATTTTCTCTTCTTTTTCTTCTTCTTCTTTCTTCTTCTTCTTCTATTTCTTCTTTCTTCTTCTTCTTCCTTTATTTCTTTTTCTTCTTTCCTTTTCTTATATTTTTTCTTCTTCTTCTTCTTCTTCTTCTATTTCTTTTTTCTTCTTCTTCTTGTTCTTCTATTTTTCCTCTTCTTTTTCTTCTTTTTCTATTTCTTTTTCTTCTTCTTCTTCGATTTCTTCTTTCTTCTTCTTCTATTTCTTCCCTTTTCTTCTATTTTTCTTCTTCTTCGACTTCTTCTATTTCTTCTTTCTTCTTCTTCTTCTATTTCTTTTTTCTTCTTCTTCTTGTTCTTCTATTTTCCTCTTCTTTTTCTTCTTTTTCTATTTCTTTTTCTTCTTCTTCTTCGATTTCTTCTTTCTTCTTCTTCTATTTCTTTTTTATTTCCTTTTCTTCTATTTTTTTTTCTTCTTCGACTTCTTCTATTCCTTCTTTCTTATTCTATTTTTCTTCTTCTTTTTCTTCTTCTATTTCTTCTTTTTCTTCTTCTTCTATTTCTTCTTCTTTCTTCTCCTTTTCTTCTTCTATTTCTTCTTCTTCTTCTGCTTCTTCCTGTAGTTCTTCTTCTTTTTCTTCCTCTTTCTTCTTCATCTTCTTCTTCGTCTTCTTCTTCGTCTTCTTCATCTTCTTGTTCTTCGTCTTCTTCTTCTTCTTCTTCTTCTTCTTCTTCAGAGTAGCATTTTTATGTCAAAATTTTGGTCACTTGTGGTGAAGTTGATGTATTGTTTTGTTCAGGCCAATGGAGAAAATCTTATATATATACATATATATATATTAACTGATTTAAAATATGGATTTTTCGCTACAAATTATTAACTATGTTTCAAAAATGGAAGCTGAAAGCTTCGAATTTAATTTTTTAATTAAATTAAAAACATTAGTTCCATTTCATCCGCAAGCAAATTAATGCTCTGTAAATTTACATTGAGCACTATTTTGTAAAAATAAAAATATCTATAAGAACACCGGATTATATATCTTGCTGTTCTTTCTTTATATATATATATTAAGCGTTTTACTCGCTTGAAAAACCTCGGATGACTCAACTTGTTGAAACCTGAAGGCAAACTGGTACCCGAAGAAAAAATAGGAAGTAAAAAAGAAAGAACTAAAATCATTAGAACAAGGCGAAAAAAATATCGTCAAGTGCCTTAAGTCCTTAGTCCAAAGAAAAAAAAACCAAGCGAGCATAAAGACAAGGAAAGCGCAGAGAGCTCAATACGGTAAGTAGAGCGGTAAATTAGAATAAATCCTAAAGAGCCAGGCAAACCGACCCAGGTTTTACCTAAACGGATCTTCAGGGTAGACTGAAGATCCGTTTAGGCGAAACGTAAATAGGTTTGCCTGTCTCCTAGGATTTATTGTATATATATATATATATATATATATATATATATATATATATATATATATATATATATGTATTTGTGTGTGTGTGTGTGTGTCTGTGATAAAAAAATAGACATACGTATGTTCACATGCCGAAAGCAATCTGAAAGCCTGTCGATACATGTATAAACATGGATTTTATTATTTCAGCATAATCCAATTATTTTCCACTTCCCTAATTTCACTCACATTTTACTCCTTTTAAATCTTTCATCACGTAAAATTGGCCATTTTTGTCAACTGGTTGTGATTCTCAATAAGCCACGGTTTCCGTTCTTGTGACGTAACCAGCGACGCATGCGCATCCTCTTATAAAATGGCGAACCGTTCATTTTGGCGCCATCATTTGTTTTTCCTGTATTTTTATGTTGCTAATTGCAAAGCCTGGTTTTTATCGATTTTTATCAAATGCCTGATTGCTGTGCTGAGTTGTTTCAGTGCAATATAAGTGTTATATACACGTGCGCGCGCACACAGACACACACGTACTTATATTACTTTTTTGATAGATTTCTTTTTATCAGGCTCTATTTCTTATTACTATAATCGCTGTTATTAGTAGGTACGCGTGGCTGAGTTGCTATCTGTTTTTTTTTACTTTCTTAAACAGTGAAATTAATGACAAGCAGCCCAGATTGAGAAGTCTTATCCATTTTTTAATCAGGAGAATCGCTTATATAGAAGAAAGGTGTTAAAGAAGCGATTCCCCTGATGACAAAAAGAGATACAGGTTCGATTCCACTCTGAGACACAATCTTTCTTCAATACGACAATAGGGCTTCTTGTAGCGATCATCATCGCCATCACACACATACATACATATAGATCACACGGCAAACATTCATTGGCTAATCTCCTCAAAACTAGCTTGCTGATTGGTCAATCCCGACCAATCCAATCGCCTGCACGCAAGGAATAATTTTCCCGCGCACAAGCTTCGGAGCCTGTCACGTGAGACACAACCTTATATAAACAAAACACGAATAAGCCTCTCGTGTGTTCTCTTCATTCATTTTTTTCCTTGCTGCCAAAATGTAATCTTCAAGAGCTCCCGTCAGACGTTAAAGAACATTGCCAACAACTCTTACCGACTTTCTCGCAAGTCGTCAGTAGAGTCCAGCTATTTTCGCCTGTCCACACAAATTTACGACTTTACTCACAACATTTCAAACGCACACACAGACACAGATTTTTGTAACACATCATACATATCTCTTTCTGTGACTCAGCCAAGTTCATGAACCAACATTCTATTAATTTCTCTAAACAACACATTTCTTAATTAACTGTATTCTATTCTAACAGCAGACTTTATTCAACATAGAATCCTGAACATTTTTATGCAAGAGAAATTCTTTTGAACATTCAATCATAAATCAGAATACAGTTGAAGGGGAACAACTTTTTTTCCTTAATCATTACACTTCATTGCATGATTGTTTTGTATGTTATATTTTAATATATATATTTTTTGATCTACATATGGAGTTTCGTTGTTGTCTTGAATCATTTTTTACACAAACGTCAAGAACACGCATCACATTCTCACTCTAGGCTGGTTGATATTAATTTCAGTGTTCAAGTAAGAAAACAAAAACGGATAGCAACTCAAATACGTGTACCCACTAAAAATGTGAAGCTCAGAACTGGTGGAATATAGCGGGTCAGAACAATTTGCCATGGAAATATCAAGAGGTCCTTCCACGTTCTTCGAAACCTTCCGATTAGATGCCTTGCTGCTGGATGTAGTTTATTGTCGTACCCAGGTCACTTCTTTTGCTGGGGTATGCTGAATATTGAAGATGTTATTTGTTAATATTCGAATTCAATAAAATGTTGAAAATTTAATTTCTATGAAAATATACATTTTGCCTATGCGTCCAGACACGCTTTGATTATTTAAAATCACTAACAAAATTTTATGTTTGCCAATTCAAAGGCGGACTGGAGATAGAAATCCTGAAAAATCTAGTAATTAAATTGACTTAAATGGAAAAAGAATCTTTTTATCTCTTAAGGATGTGTGACAAATCGTATTGTTACACTATGAAATAAAACGTATATGGTAAAAGATAAGGATAATTAAATAAGCGTTCAGTTCCATCCAAATAATTTTTTCTGATTATATCTCCCGTTGAAAAAGTTTGGTCAGTAGGTATTTGTGGGGGAAAGTTTTCATATAATCAAAAGGGTGTTTAGAACAGAGCAAGTAACTGTTGCTAATACGTGAGTGATAAATGAGAAGTTTAAAATTTACAGTCGCCGGAGTCAAAATGAATGTGCTGGCCGAATATAAGAGAGGTATATTAATATCCTTATAATGTAATAGCGCCTTTTATTTACTGTCTTTATCCTGATCTATTTTGCTTTTTATGTGATCTGCTGACTCAAAATGAATGTGTTCTTGGTAGTGTTAAGGTGACGTGTTTTATGCTATTTGCTAAAGTTCTTTTAAAAGTTCTGCTGTGGTCAGGTATTGAACTCACAATTCTTTGGGTCAAATCACTGGGTTACTTAAAGCATCGCTTTTAAGAACTTGCCCAGTGGTGAACAAAAACTTGGATAGTTGAGTTACTAAAGGGAAATAACTGAAACTGCGACATCAAGGAGAGGCATGGCACGTGGAACTAGAACGAACGGAGGAAATAAATGTTTCGGTTAGAAAGTCCAGTGTATATCACCTGAAGAAGGCCGGAGCGTACAACGGAAGAAACGTCGTGAATATGACAATGACAATGAGGACAACAGCCCGAATAATGTAAATATTTACAATGCCTATTCTCAGAAATATAGATAAATAAAATATAGATATTTTATTTCAAGGAAATCTGCGTTAAAACAATATTAAACAACATTCCGAATTGCGAAAAGGCAACAGCGGTAGTACATAGTTATTAACGCCATAAGCAAGGTTTAAAACTTCACATCTATATAATAAATGCGAATGTCAGTGTGTCACTGTGTCATACATTTTCAACTTTACTCCTAGGGGCCGTAGTTCAAAATGTCATACCATTTTGGAATCAGGCCGACTCCGTGAGCAAATTAAAAACATTCCGGGTTGGAACCGGACCCGCAATCCTGAAATTTTGGATTATCAAGTTTTCATTACTGCGATTGTTTTCGGATGCCGCCATCTTGGCTTCTACTGATAAAAAACAGTTAAAGGGACACAACTCTTTAACTTTCAATAGCTCATGTTCAAATGAAAAAATTACTGTTCCCAAATTACAGTGTTTAAAAATAAAAAATTGTCCGTGTTTTCAACTTTACTCCTGGAGGCCGTAGCCCAACATATCTGTTATGGTCCAGGTTAGGACCAAAGAAGAACAACACGAACACAAGAGTAGAAATAACGAAGGTATATTACACGAAATAATAATACAAGATGTGGAAGGTGTTAGTATGACTGTCAGTCTGGTTTGGAGTGAACTACTATCGGCTCGATTCGATTCGGTATCTGAGAAGCTCGGCTTGATTCGGTATCTAGCCACCCTCCCACGAGGGTTGCATGTGGCACAAGGCCGAGTTTAACGTGGATTTCCCGAGCCCGTAGGCTCGGCCAAAAAATGCCCGTAGAACCCGTATAAACGGGATCGGGTTGGTCAACCTCCCCGAACGAGACTCTGCCCTTTGGTGGAGCCTCGTCCGGGTTCCTCTCTGCTCAGAGGCAGAGAGTTTGACCGTCAAGCCGAGAAGCTCGGCTTGATTCGTCCCTCTCTCTTGAGAGGCGTAGTATACATAGTGTTAGGAAGAGTTCATTCTGTAGTTATAGGTAAGGACCCATGACAATATCATACCATTTTGGAATCAGGCCAACTCTATGGGCAAATTAAAAACATTCCGGGTCAAATCCGGACCAGCAATTCTGAAATTTTGGATTTTTGAGAGGAACCCAGACGGGGTTATGCCTATAGTCAGAATTTCGTCTGGGGCGGTAGACAAACTCGACCCCGTGTATTCGGGTCTACGGGGAAATTTTGACTGAGCCTACGAGCTCGTATCGCCCCACTTAAAAATCAGCCTTGTTCCACATCCTGCCTCGTGCCGGCTTGATCAAGTATCAAGTAACTTGACGGACGGACGGATCAACGAACGAACGAAAGATGGAAAGAAAGATGTGGAAAAGGAAAGAGATACAAATTAATGATATAAAATGGAGAAATCCTTTCGCAAACAAAATTTTAAAGGTGCATTTACTTACATATCCCTCGATGAATGTTATGATCCTTGTTTTTTTTTTTTTAAATTATAAACTGTAGATAAAGGTCTTTCTTTAATACGCAAG